CCCAGTTTTTAATTTGGCCAAGACAAGACATAAAAACAGAAACAGAACTGTTGCCCCTGAACAACCAGCGACTCTTTTCACACCAAAAAGCGACAGTGGACCCTCCACACATGAAAAGGATGTAGTGCACCCAAAACACTCCCACCATCTCCCATGTTATCCAACTTCCCTCAGACCGGGACGCAGCCTGGGGCTCAGATGTCCGTCTGGAACCAGTGAGTGGATCGATCCTCCCAGAAAAGTTGAGAATCTCCTTTCCCCACCCTTCCAGTCACCAAGGTCTCAGAGGGAAACTATCTACAGCTCCAGCTTCAGCTCCAACTCCCCTGAAAGAAGTGGAAGACTCTCCAAGGAGACAGGGAAACCATTCAGAGCTTGAAAGGGGGGCTTTTGGACAGGTTCCCCAGAAAGGCGGCCATAGAAGGACAAAACAAAACAGTTAAGCTAAACAAAATATAACACAGGGAGAACAGGTGCCTGATAAACTGAGTCAAATAATCTCAGGCATGAGTTAGCATCTTAAGCATTGGTTCTCCACCAGTGGGTCACGACCCCTTTGGGAGTCTAATGACCCTTTCACAGGGGTTGCCAGTTTCATAACAGTAGCAAAATGACAGTGAAGTGGCAACGAAAATAATTTTATGGTTGGGGGTCACCACCATGTGAGGAACTGTATTAAAGGGTCGAGACATTAGGAAGGTTGAGAACCACTGGACTTAGGGGATGGGACTTTGCTTCTTGTTTGCCTCCTTCCCATTCTACATCCTTACCATTTCTATATTCTGATTTCCTGTTTTTTACTGCTGCTTTGTTTTTCCCACCAGTTTCCTAGCAAAGCTTCTTTTGAAACATTCCAGGCTGGTCTCTGCTGAGCCAAGGGGATTTGTCCACACCTAAAGCCAGCATAGCTGAGCCGTGAGGGGGGTCCCTGGAGACCAGGTGTGGGGGCAGCCGGCTGAGGAGGGGAGCGGGTGGGGAAGGCTGGGCCCCCACAGCCTTTCCGCCCACTCGTCCCTCACCCGGACTAATGAGAAAGTCATCTGTCTGAGAAGAAAGAAAAAAGCCTTGTTTCTTTCCCCGGTTTCCGTTTCAGTCCACTGGCTTGGCCCTGACTTTCTGGTTCCCACCAGCCACGGACAGTTATAGATTTTATAGAATGGGTGGACTTTTCCCCTTGAAATTCTTGCTTGGTGTGGTGTATGCTGTTCTTGACCTACTGACCGCCTGGCTCTCTTTCAATTGCATCAACAGGATGGAATGGTGGCCAAAGAGCTGTTTCAAGGAGGACGGCTCCTTCATCCTACAGAGAAAGACACACTGAGCACCAGTCAGGGGATGGTTCCAGAGTGCCCGCTAGGAGTGGGCCACTGGGTTGGGGACATGGAGGGACAAGACCCAGGCTCCACTACCCAGGGCTGCAGGGAAGACAGACAAGGGGGCAAAGAGATGTGGCCCTGCCTAAGGATGGAGCCTGCTGTGACGTTGGCACGATGCCTGGCACCCCCACATGCACAAGTCAACACAGCCTTACTGCCACACCCTGCCCGTCCCCACGTTCTGCCTGCACAGAACCCATACCCAGAGTGTCAAGCTGCGTGTGTGGGGGTGGGAGTTCCAGGGTTCCTGGCAGAGGGGACTCCCGGTACAGGCAGAGCAAGGAGGACCCGGAGAGTCTGGCCAGTTCAAGAGGCCTGAAAGTGACTGGCCAGCCTGGAGCATCCAGATGACACTGGGCCTGAGGAGGAGGAGGGACCCAGGGTGATCACAAAGGGTCTTGTGCTCACACCCTTTAGATCAACCGTTCTCCAACAGGGCTGATTTTGCCCCTTCCTTCCATGGACGGACCTTGGTGGCACAGTGAGTTAAGCGTGGGACTGCTAAATGCAAGGTCAGCGGTTCAAACCTTACTAGGCGGCCCACGGGAGAAAGAGGTGGCAGTCTGCTTTCGTCAAGCCACTGCCTTGGAAACCCTATGTGGTTGTTCTTCTGGGTCCCACGGGATGCTATGAGTCAGAATGACAGCAACTGGGCTTCTTTTGTTTGGTCTTTCCGAAAAACAGGACTGTCGTGAAGAAGAGCGGAGCGTGCTAAGGTTATGGAGACTTGTAGGACTAAGGAGCGGCCGACGAGTGAGGACGAAGGAACGATTTCAAGAGATCTTTCAGCTGTGAAATCAGAAGGATTCCCACCTCCCTGGGGTCACGTGAAGGTGGTGGGACCGATTCCCCCAGGAGGAAGCATCCATGGAGACCAAGACCTGTTCAATGGTGGCTTATCCAGAACGGGAGTGCCCAGGTGGCTCTCTGGGTCCGGAGCTCTCGGGAGAGCGGTCTGGGGAGGAAAACCAAGCTCTGGAGTTGCCAGCATATCAGCAGTAGGTGAAACCATGGCGGACTGAGAAGCCTCCCCACCCCCACCCCCACCGCAGGTGATTACAGTCAAGTGCAGAAGAGGAGCCTGA